AGTCCACATAACCTACTACAGGCCCTCTTTATAGTTCTAGGAGTTGGTATCAATAAACAATTTTGTGAGGCTCTTGTTTTTAATGAAATCTATGTCTCAGTTATCTTGAAGAAATATTTCTGTATATTTCATTACAGAAGTGAAATATGTATAATTTATCATTATTGAATATATGTAATCATTACAAAACAAATAAAATCATTATGTATGAGTAATCCAAATCCAAAAAGTCTTGCCTTTTAGGCCTTATGTCCAAAAAGTAAAAGAACAAGAATTAAATAAGAATGGACTCCTATCCCAACTCTACATGTCCAGTGATCAGGGCTGTCACTGGACAATCCTATGGTTAAGACCTCTGACTCAGGAGGTCTTTAACTAGGCTTCAGATTTCAGCTCTTCCACCCACTAGGCCTGTGCACCAAGGGAAGCTATTTCCCTCTCTTTACTCGCCTCAGTTTCATCTATGAAATGGGAAACATTTAAGTTACTTCAAGAGTTGTTGTGAGAATTAAATAAGTCAGTACATGTAAATCTCTTAGAATAGTATCTGGCAAACAGTAATTGCTCAATTCATGTTACCTTGTACAATTAAAACTCCAAGAAACCTTTGTACATCAACTATACTTTAATAAATTTTTTAAAAAACTATAAAAAAATCCCTTGTTTTATACATCACAGGGGCCCATTAATGACTTATTCCTTTTTTAATCTTAAACTGAAAAAGACAACAGAAATAACGTATCTATATCATATACAAGTTTTCACACCTGTGGATAAATTAACAACTTCCCACTTATTCAGAGGAGAATTCATAGAGGAAATAGAATTTCATACTTACATTTTTTTCTGATTGGAAAAAGAAGAAAATCCCACATAATCCTACAACCCACTCAATTGATATTTTCATATATTTTCTTTGTCTTTTCCTATACATATAAGTAGAATTTTATATCATTGACACTGTGTTTGGCACTCTGCTTGATTCAAATTACATTAAATGTATTTTTGTGTCACTTTTTTAAAATGGCATTTTAAATGGCCATATACATTTAATTTCCCTGTAGTAGGAAATGGCAACCCACTCCTCTTGCCTGGAAAATTCCATGGACAGAGCAGTCTGACAGGCTATAGTATATGGAGTCACAAAGAGTCAGACACAACTGAGCGACTAAGCAGACACTGCACATGCAGTTAACTACTCTAATGCATATAAGAAAAAATGGTGACTAATACACTTCCTCCTGAACTCATAATTTTTACATACTCATGACCCACCCCCCAAGAAAATCAGCCAGAAAGGATTTTTGCTTACTTACTGCTCTGCATATTTGTTCTTAAATAAAATTTTCTAGTCAAAAATAAACTTTATTATAAAGTTTAAGAATAAATTTTAAATAGGAAGCAGGAGAGAGATAAGACACCCATTTACGAATTAATCAAATGTACACAGTAAGGAATCACGTTGCCATCACTGCCACCTCCCAGAGTCCACCATCTACTTTGCAAGTATGAACAGCTACACAATCAGTAGGATAAAAAACTCTCTTGACTATGCAGTGAGGTTCATGGCTATTACCAAAAGCCTTGTGGAGCAAAACTGAAAGGATGAAAAGGAACAAGAAAGACCAATGAAAGGAGTGATGAGTTTAGAGGGGGAGGGTTACTGCATAGCGTTCCCTAGGTTAACACTCCTCTTCCAAAAGGCTGGAAGCTACTTTTGATCCACATACACTGACTCATAGTTCAGCATATAACGTAAAACGTGCCGGTTGTTCTTAAGGCTACCTATTCTGGGAAAAGCAAAGAGCTTGCCATCTTTAGGCTTTCTGCATATGCAAAATAGCTGGTCAAATGAATCCTGCATCTCATATCCTTGAGAATCACAGAAAGTTAATGGCATATGTTCTGGGAAACTGGAGGGTTTGGGTTAATAAAAAGCCTAATGCCCATGGGTTTATGACATTATCTTGTGCTCTTATCCTTTCTTGGGTCCAAATATCTGGCTTCAAATAAAAACGGTTACCGTAAAATGGGAAGGGGAGGGGTTAGATCAGAAAGCCTTGAACTACATTTTAGTAGACTTTCTATCATCCTTTATAAGAAAATATTCTTTATTATCAAACCTTCAGCTCACCTGGAGGGAACGACCTCTTAGAGAAAGAAACTGACTGTGCTTTGCTCAGGAGAGTGCTCCCCCGATGCCCCAGTGGTGAAGACTCCTCCTGCCATGCAGGGGACTCAGCCTCCACCCCTGGGTCTGGAAGAACCCCTACAGAAGGAAAGAGCAACCTGCTCTAGTACTCCTGCCTGGGAAATCCCACGGACCAAGGAGACTGCTGGTCTACAGGGCACGGGGTCTCAAAGAACGGGACACCAGTGAGCGGCTTGAACAACAACAACACGCTGACAGGAGCACGGGGCTGCTGCCTTGTCACTGCATGGAGCATGAGTGTCACTCGAAAATAACAGCGCTGCTGATGTATGTTCTCTTTTAAAGACAATCTGAATACTATTCTGATTCAATTACTGAAGCTCTTTTCTGGCCATGTCAAAATGAAAAATCATGTTTCAAGAGTCTAAATTTGTAAAAACAGGCTCAAGAAACCAGCTCTCCCTGCAGTTTAGTTTGGCCCAACTTCTCCAACACAGGAAAAAGAGGTTCAGAAACAGTTTCTCTGCCACAAACGCATTTGCTAGGAGGTCACCCGATGACTTCTCCATCTTGAGGGAATTACCTAAACTAACAAACAAATAAACCAGAACAAAACAGAAAACTAGACATACAAAACCTCAGAACTTGAATATCCAATCACATTTTGTTCTGCCTCCTTTTCTAGCTTCCTCCTGCTCTGCTGTTTCTCCAGCACGTGAATGACCTGTCTTATCATGCGTTGTTTGGTCTATGGTATTAATAAACGTGCCACAAACTGCACACTTGTGATGATCTGAATGACAAAAAGGATCTAATACATATATTTCAAAATGAACAACCATTTGCCCAAAACAGAGATCAGCAATCTAATTTAAAATAAAATAAATGAACTGTGATTTTTTTTTCCCTCCTCTGTGACATTATAGTACAGGATCTAGAGATAACACCTTCATTTATCTACAAAATAAATTATATCTGCAATCTAGAGCACCTTCAGGATGTTGATTCAACTTTTACAAAGTGTAATATTTAGTCATTTTTAACCACCATTTTCAAAAACTTTAGGGAAGCCAATATTGGCTTTTGGCTTTTCTCCTCTTTAACCCTCCACCAAGGACCATATCTCTTGCTAGTGGGTCTCATCTTGGTGAGCAGGACTCTCAGTCCACATCACTGAATGGAACCGTGTGGCTCCCTCGTGCAAATTTCCTGAGAGCCCCTCCCCTGAGCATGTGCCAAAAATCAAATCTTGGCCACTTAGTGCTCTGCGCTCCACATGTGCGCTCACGGCGCATTCAGCAGCCGCACTAACTGAGACGGATAGCCCTGTCAAACAGGAAGCTGGCACACCAGGGCGCGACAGTGGGATACAATGACCTTTACATTCAGAGAAAAATATCCCTAAAACGGCATGAAAAGTTTATGGGGGGGAAGGAGGGGAGATTCTTTTCTTTCATTTGGGCCCATAGCATGCAATAAAAGCAATGATGCCCAGCGTGCAATTTGCTCGGGATCAAATCTTGAATCCTTCACACAAGAAGGAAATGAATCATCCTTTATCATGCTGCTTTGAAAGCAGTGGACTCGACGATTCAGCCGTATGTACCGCTGCACCCAGACAGGCCAAGTGGAGGGATTCAGCATGCACTTCAACTCACAATAACCCACAGTCCTGGGAAAACATTCCTAATCTCCTGTAGATGGGTTGGTTTCAGACGGTAGAACCAAGATATAATTTGAATATTTAATTTTTAAAAAATTTTTAAAGTAATAATCAGCTTACAAAATCAGAGTCAAGAGCTTGGTAATTTAAACCCCATGTCCTTGGTCACCATATTTGTAACTTTTTTTAAACTGCTTAATCTCTTGTTTCTGTCTCTAAATAAACAGAGGATTGGACTAACAGTTCTTAGGAAGTATATGAGGAGGAATTCATTTGAAAAAGTAGCAAAAATCAATAGCACATACACAAATGTTAAGTAAGGACAGAAATTAATATATGGAATAAAACCAGGCAGTCACATGCTTCTGTCCTTTAGTTACAGCCATTATCATAATCTATACAATTCGGTCATTCCAGCTAAAAAACAAACATCATTCTACTGGGTCAAAAATTTATTTTTCCATTCTTCAGGTTTGGGGGCACTTTTGTTATTTGTTTCATCAATTATTTGGCATAAAAGAACAACGGGCGTCACCAGTTCACAGTGGGGTCCCCAGTGCTGTACAAGTCACACTGAAATAATGAAGCAAATTTAATATTTAATTAAATCAGTAAGATGAATTGATCACAAAGACACTGAGCATTTTTTAAATGACTGGACCACAGAACTACAGGCAGGTTTTCAAAAATACAAAAGTACAGTATATGAGAGGCAAACATTTTTTTTTTCTATTTAACTAAAAGCTGATCATAAAGTACAAAAACTGCAGGCCCAAAGCAGTGAATAAACTTAGAAAACTGAAAGCTTATAAATCACATATTAAAGTTTGGATAAGTTAGGAGTCAAATGTCTGAGTACTCTAAGAATACCGATTTGAGGACTTAGAGAAAATAAGAGAGATATCAATGCAAAAAAAAAAAAAAAACAAAAACCTCTATGATGACCACTTTGAAATGCAAGCGGCAAAATGAAATGATTTTGGTGTCTCTAGAGGTGCTGGTCAAATGTTTCCCAAAGCAACAAGAGAACAAGACTCTCCATGAAACATTCTGCTGTTGACTGTTTGGGAAAGATGCTAAATATGACCATTCTCCAATCCCTGTCTGGAGAATTATTTCGGGGAACATACTCTTCCTCAAACCACGACACTCCCACGGCACGGGGAGGAGGAGAGATGGGAATACCTTGTGCTTGGGCCGCGGAGCTGTGGGAGTAGCCCAGGGCCAGGAGTGCAGTCTCCACCAGCTGGCTGAAAAGCACGTCCTTGCGGACCAGGACGAACTCAGCATGCTCTTCCCTGTTGTCATACTCAAGAGAGCCGTCCAACTGCTCCACCACACAAAAGACGGGAATCATCAAACCTGCAGGGACAAAAGTCAAGAGCAAACACAAACATTACAAAGCAAGTCTCGGTCACCATCATAAGAAGGGAAGAGACAGTTATAAAAGTCACTCATCTGTGATTGACAGTGGCTTGGATTAAACAAGCCTCTTAGTCAGATGGGGTCTAATGGGAGAGCTGTGGATTTTTTTCCCCTTCATTACTATCAGACTGCAGCAGAACTGCCCCAAGCAGCGACAGAAGCCCTCAGATTCTAGTCACTAAAAAGTGGAGTGTCCCAGTTGAGGTCTCCTGACTGAGAAACCTCAAGTTCACAGTCAGCACATAAGTGAGACCAAGGAGACCTTCTGTCTCTCACATCCGCATGTCTATGGTCTTACCATCAGCTATTAATGGGACCAGTATTTTCAGATCAGATGTGCTTTTGTCTAGAAATATTGTAAGACACCTACAAGGGAAGCATATCTGATTTGAGGCCCTAAGCTATTATGTGAATATGTACAAGAAAATCAATAGGAATTGAAAAGAAACCCCTCTTGTATCTTTTATGTTTCTAAATCTTGTTAAATAGGCCATCAACTAACCTGAAAATACTCTGTTCACATAAGTCTTAGCTGACATTTAATTTATGTCAAAATCTGCATACAAATATGAAACTCTGTCTTTTAAAAAAAATTACTATATGTTAACACCAGTTACCACTGGGAAGGAATACCTCGGCTTATGTTTTCAAAGAAGTAAACCACCCTAAAGAGTAAAGCAAATTAGTGTAGTTGAAAATCTGTTGAAATCTGTTGTCACTGAAATATTTCTCTGCTTTGTATCAATGTGTGAAAAGCTAAAAAATGTTTAATTCACTAAAGATTTTTTTATAAACTGTTTTTTAATAAAAAAAAAAAAGTCATACAGGCATTTAAATCTAAACACAGCCATGACAAAAGAAGATCAAACTTTTACCAACATACAAGTAATAAACATGGACTCTGCCCCACGTAATTCACATAAATTAGTATGTTACAGACTAAGGATCTGCAAGAAAAATTAAAAGTTATGAAGGGGGAGGAAGAAGATCAGCTGCTCATGGTGACAGCATTTCACAATAAAAATAAGACCTCTGTGTAAAATGACGTATGTGAATATGACCTCTGACACACAGAAGGCATAGGAGTTTCTCTAGAAACCCCTCCCTGTTGCCTGGACCCTGGAAGCTTCCTGACTCACTCTGATCTGGAAAGCAGAGGGTGGAAGCAGACATTCTGCAAACTATCAGGTCACAGATTTAGATTTTTCTTCTAAAGATAATACAATGGTGACACAGGTTCCCATGTGCTAATTATTATTATTAAAGATAATAAGTATTGGATGTAATTATTAAATATAACCATTATTAACACTAATAATACTCATTAAGAATTGTTATCATTAAAGATCATGGTAATTATTATTAAGCTTGCACAACAGAATAACAAGTCATACCACACCATACCTGACACAACTATTAACTTAGTATTCGCTCCTAAGAACAACAAAACAGCATTATTGTCCATTGCCCATATACCGTCCATGGTATCAATTTATGGAACATAGGAAATTAGGGTGGGGCAGACATTATTTTAAACAAAGAAGAGAATTTAGCCTAGCCACATGGTGCCTTACAAAATATTTTTTTAAATCATGATCAGCACTGTCATATCAAATGCTTATTTACTTATATCCAGTTTATTCCCAACTGCTTGTATGACATATAGTGAATAATATAAATTAGATTTCTTCCAAATTATCTCAGTGGTCATTCATTTATCCAACTTTTGTCCCCTGAATACCTGCTGTGTGCCAGGCATACCCCATGTTTCTAGTGATACAAATGAAAACAAGTTTGCCCCTGCTCGTACCCACAGGGCAGTTGAAGAGTGTTGTAAAATCTTCCTAAGCAAGCATAATGGCATTTTATAGGATCCATTCACGAGAGTCCTTACCAGCACCGAATAGCCTCCATTTAGACCTTTTAACTCTTACATACTGGTAAATGATCTTTGTTCAAGCAAGCGGTTGATTTCTATTTTTAATGATTTAAGTGTATGCACACATAGGGCCATGCAGTCAGTGGTGCCATAAGCTACTTCATCACTAATACCTGTGTGTACGTAAGTTTCAATGCTGAAAATCCACGGCAGTTCCTAACGTCAACATCTAGGTGTCACACATCTGGAAACCACAGATAAGACCTTTAAACGAATCCAGCTGCTCCATAACCTATCCGGCAGCCACTGCTTTAGTGACCATAAACCTTCCTCAAGTGGATGGGCACCTGAATAAAACTGAAGACCCCAGTCATTTTTTAATAATATTAAGAGTTTATGAGTTAGAGATGAAGTACAATACTAAAGCACAAAGATTTATACCACGTAGAGATTTATTTTTTGAAAATGTCAATGATCAAAATATTTCCTAAGTATTTTATTTCAGTGACTAAAGGAAGCAAATTGTTATCTGACATGACAGCAGTACCTGTCCCTCACAGGCATCGCCTGCTTTCAAAAAAAGAAGGAAAAAAAAGGACATTTATAAAACAAAACAGTATTAATCAGAAGTATATGATAACAGAATCTGTTCTAAAAGCACATATACACGTGATACTAAAAGCTATCATAACAGATTATATTTAACCACTAGAAAAAAATGTACCTTTTTAGTAGAATTAGATCAATCAAAATAATGATGACATCTTCACAATGAAATGCAATTTTTACAAAAGAAGAGGAAGGCAGGAAAAATAGATACAGTTACTAGTGACAATGACAAGAGAAATGAAAACTAGTAAAACAGTACAACTGAGGTCAAATGTAGGGAAGAAGAAAATTAAGGTATACGTTTAAAACACAGCAAATTCCTAGGAAAGAAAACTATGAAAGGATGAGTAGATATACATATCAAAAAATATATATACTTATTCATTTGATCACCCCATTTGCTCCAGGCAAAAGAGAAAAAAAAGAAAAAAAGTGACAACAGATGAAAGGATAGTGAGAGCATGTGGCAAGCACTTCAAAAAATAAAAGTGGTAAGTATTAAAAGTCCCAATAAAATAAAAAGAGCAATGTAAAACTAAGATGCATTTATAACAAAATTTAGAAATGATCAAGAAGAAAAAGAAAGACAGTGTTGTCCTCACCCTATAATGAGAGCTTATGGCATTATTTTTCTTTTATTATAGCACAGACCATCTCCAGATGATCAAGGAGAGAACTTTGAACCTTTTGATTACAAGCCTTGCTAAGCCTTTTATAATTGCAGGAGGTAAGCAAGTGGTTTAATCTAGAGGACAGGCACACAGCCCTAGCCATTTGCTAAAAATTAAGAGCTCTTCTGACAAATTGGGATAAATGGTTAATTCTGTTGTCAGCGGGGTAAAATAAGCAATGGGACTCTCTCTACTAGAAAAATGCATTTTTCCCAATTGTTATTAGTTATGATGCTCAAATTGCCATTTTCATCATGACCTGATTTCTGAGGAAGTGTGCATCATTATAAAGAGTTAACCTGATCTTCACCACCACAGCCCTGCAAACAGAGACATGTGGGGAGATGGCTGCTTTGAGCCAGGATGGAGTGAAGTCCTGCCACTGCCATTACTAACCTACCGGAGTAATTTGTTTGACCTCTCAGCTAAATTCCTCCTAGCTAAAATGTAAATTATAATATCTACAACCTAGAATGGTGTGAGAATTAAACAATGTAACATTGTTAAATGGTCTGACAAGTAGCCCTCCAATAATGAAATCCACTTGGTTTTCTTTTTTCAAATCAGTATTGATACCACTTCACAGAGGAAAAAAAGAGACCAATAATTTTTTTCAGGGTCTACCATCAAGGCTCAAGATACTTCCTGAAAAGCATTTCTTCAGAATGAAAATCATACCAGTAATTACTGAATGGCCTAATTAAGATGCTTAAAGGCTTAACATGTTCACCATGCCCCACAGCCCAAAAGGGTGAAAGTGCTAAAAGCACCATACTTAATATGCTAAAACTGCCTGTCCAATACAGGAGCCACCAGCCACATGCAGTGACGGAGCACTTGAATGCTGACTAGTCCAGAGCTGAGATGTGCCGTGTGACATACACACTCAAGTGTCAACAATTTAATACCAAAAAATAAAAAATAATATTTAACTCAAAAAATTTTTATTAATTGAATATAGAAATAATATTTTGGATATACTGAGTTAAACAAAATGTATTAGTAAAATTAATTTCATCTGTTTCTTTAACTGTTTTTTTTTTAAAGAAGCTACAAGAAATTTAAAATTACACATGCAGCTTTTATTACATTTTGATCAGACAAAGCTGCTCTAAGTAATCTGCCAAATACCAACATATACAATGGTTTTTCTGACCCAGGATAAATACACCACAACCAGATTAGCAGGACAATTGTGCCATTGTCACTTATCTCTCCTCTGTGTTCCAGATCTTAAGAGACTTGAGGACAGATGTACTCTTGGTTAAACTCCAATATCTAACAGTGATATCTTCCCTGTTTCACTGAACAAATTGTAGGCTATTGTTTTACTCCTAACTATATTAATCCAAGTTCTTTAATAAAAGAAAGACTTTTTTTTGTCTTCGCTTCATTTCAGAGAACAAAATCTAAAGTGCCCAGGAAATGACAAGATAGAGAGATGAATGTGAGGAGCAAGTACTGTTTAATGTGCTGGATCTAACAGTGAAAGATGAAAGAAGGTCCAGAGGCAGAGGTCTAGATGGCAGGATTCTAGCATCTTCTGGGAGAGCTGGGACACAAAATGATACTCTCATCTGCAGGGCAACTCCTAACTCATCGCGTACTCTGACATACATACTTACCTTTGTTTCTTCCCTGTTTACCCTGTGAAAGGGTTATTATTACTCTCATCTGATAAACGAGGAAGCTGAAACTATAGGAAAATTAAGTACGATGTCCAAAGAAACTAAGAGAAGCAAGGATAGAGCAGTTCCAGTTAGCCAACTTTAAATCTC